TGACGACATCAGAAGGTTTTCCCACGAAAGCACTGTGCGCGGTACGATCTCAACGAGATCGTTGAGATACCACAGACGATTACGACGTCTCTGAAACGCAGGTCAAAAGCGGTTTTGCACATTCACAGCTAATGTCTCTGGGAAGCTATTCAACAATTAATTCACTGAGGAAATTGTGTAGCAGCTTCAGGTCGGAGCGATTTCGGTAAGCCTCGTTGAGCTCGACGGTGACGGCAGATGACGTCATATTCTGGAGACGGCAGGGGCAGTGAAGGAGTGCTTGCTTCTGTTTACGGAGGAACAACTAAGGAATATAACGCCATAAAACTTTCATTAACATCGGCTCCCTGTGTGACGAAAAGTTCGATGATGTGCGCCATGGGCTGAGTGTCTCTTTTTTTTTGGCCACCCCTGTATATGTACCTGTTTAATGACACTATTTGGTCATTCCATAGTGCATGTAAGGGCGCAGTGATAGAGAGCAGTGGAGGGAGAAAGGCGCAGGATAAGGAGAGGAGCAGATAGCCCACGCAGGGAAGGGAGGTTCCGGCGGTTGCCGGGGTACAAAACATTATATTTCACCAAAGGATTGGAAAAGGCGGAGCTGGTATAGTGGCAAGTTCTGCATGCTGCTCACCAAACCCATAGGCTGGGTGTTCAGGCTTCAGGCTCACCAGCCCCTTCATCGCTCCCTGGTCGGTCGATTGGTAACACAATTGTATGGGAGCAGAGAAACAGAAATGTATATCGTTTGGCCCACACAACTCATCGAAGAGAACAAGTCACTCTAAAGTGCCACTACGATTTTGAGTGAAAGTGAAATACGTGGCGCATCCCAACAGGGGACTGATCATCCCCGAATGCCTGTGCTTTAATCGACTGAGACGAATACATTTGTTACGGATTCAGAAGAAAACGAATCAGTTACGGTTATTCAGTGTCTTCGTCTGGTAGTGGCAGCAGTGTGGTAGAACAACAGTCAGGAGATGGTCCTCGTGTTGGATGGACGAGCAGTGAAGTAAGCAGCAAATTATTCGTTTTTCAGAGTGCTTCTGTATGAGGTTAGGTGAAAGTGCACAGCAGCGTGGTTGGCATAGCCCTACACATCGCTCGCAGATTAGCAGTTGAAGTTTTCATGGGGGAAGGAGTACGGAGAGGGAAGGGGAGGAAGTGGAGGTGGGGAGAATGGGAATGGGGAGAGGAGGAGGGGATGGAGGAGGAAAAGGGGGAGGGGCAGAGGAGTGGAAGAAGGGGGGGGAGAGAGGGTGCGGCACATCATAAAACATTATGAGCCATGACCAACTATACAGAAGTTGACTAGGGATGGGGCAGCGGTTCTGCTGTTATGCCAAAAAGTGGAGCTTCACCTTTTGGTCAATTTCCTTACTTCAAGTAAGGCCCGACACTGTAACGTGAGGTCGATGTAGTAGCAAAATTAACACCATCTTTTGTTTGAAGCTTGAGAGAAGAGATATAGGAGTGGGAGATGATGGGGTTGATGGGAGGTAGTAAAATACTTCACGGATCACAAGAGCTCATGATATACGTTAAAAGTAGTGCTTCTTCCTTCACTCCGGCAAAAACTAGCGAAAGAGTGGGATAGAAAATTCATGGATGATATCTTAGCACATCCACATATAGTTTAGCTTTCCGTAATCTAAACATTGTTAGGTGCTGAAGTGACAGATGGCTCGGATTAGCATGGGACGGCAAGGTGGCAAATCCCGGCTCGCTTGGCTTTCGCTCTTCTCCAGTGAATCTTCCATTTTCCGGAATTAATTAGTCTGCACCTAGCACGTTTTGGAGATTGAAAACAATGAGCTAATCATCTCCTGGACTATTAGGCCAAATCGCGCTCAACTCTCACCACGTGCAGGTATAACGCGTGGGGGGAGAGATAAGCTCACCGCGGCGCGGACGCGAGCGCGTGCAGGTGACGTCACAGCTGCGACAAAACGGCAACGAGAGGGCGAGGTAGGAGTGTTGCTGTCACTTCGTTTGGCTGATAGAAGGGATACTAGCATTCACTAATTGATGCAGTCAGTAGTACCGTGAGCAAAGAGGTTGTATTGTGTGTAGGTACAATTTTCGCCGTCGAAAATTAGGAATATTTTTGCAAATTTGAGGAAATTAACGGTTTCGCATTTAAAACCCAACGAGTGCGCAATTAAGTCGAAGTTGATTACTTTAAGTTCATTCTTCGTTATTACTTCTACTCACTGCACAGTGAAGTCAGAATCGATAGTGTCTAATACGTATTGTTATAAAGTAATGGCGCCTGTCTTGCCCAAT